ATGGGGAGGCGAAGGGGGCCACTGAATGCTGACAGTAACAATGACTGATGCATGAAAACAGTGAACTTGCTTCTATGCCACACATCTGTGCTTTACAATATCTCTGCACGGCCATTTTTGTGTGACTGCAGTGATGTCAGATATCAACTGATAGAGACCTCAACCTGATCTCTTTATTTCAGAAACATCTCCAGATCGGAATATAAGTCCTCTCTCCCTTCCTCCTATGGACTTTAATTACAGGTATGGCAGATCCTTGTTGTAATGACTGTGTCTTTTTGTTTCTGCACTTTTTAAAAGTGTGGACTGAAACTGGAAAGAATTGTTTTAAAGTGAGTGTTTTAAAAGGATTGCTGCATATTTTGAAAAGCAAGTAACCCGACCCTCATAGCAAGCATTATGTAAACTGCTGTTTGAATGAGCAATAATAAAAGTGTTTACATATGAACTGGAGTCGAGAGTTTCTGTGTACAGATGAACTGGAGTCGAGAGTTTCTGTGTACAGATGAACTGGAGTCGAGAGTTTCTGTGTACAGATGGGGCTAGCCAGCAACAAAAAGTTGATTGGTCTATGAACTAGCAACCAGTTATTGATGATAAAAGTCTTGCTTGCCAACATCTGTGTGATTGGTTCATAGGTAACCAAACAACTTGAGGCCAGGAATAATGTAGGCACAAGAATTTTGTTTGTTCAAGAGTTGTCTCCCTGTAAAACCCATTTTAAACCTGAAGAAAACAGTTCAGCTTTCCATCAGCAGTTGAGTTGTTGTTAAGCTGTGACTTTTAACTGATAAGTCAGAGACCTTTTAAAAGTGAACCAGACACCCTGTGCCTCTTGCAAACCAGTGGAAGCATCTGGAGAAAGATGACTGAACAGCAACGCTCTGAGCAGTATAAGAACCATATCAGCAATCTGTGAACAGGAACTGCAGAACTGCCTCCTAGTTTTTTCTCCACTCATGACCAATTTTTCCTTGTTTGTCTGACTGTGTGTGTACATAAAGTAGTGTTTATAAAAGGAAGGAAGCTTTAATTTGTGGTGTCATAGTTTATAATAAGCTGGAGTATAACAACTTGTAAAAGTGATTTTTGTTCAGTACAGAAACCTGGCCTGTGCTTTCTGAGTCTTAAAATCTAATAAATTGAGGAATTTTGACTACTCATTTTAAAATCTTTAAATTTGTGATGTGATGATGCTATCTCCAAGTTCAGGTTTTTTCTACCTTTGTTTTTAGCAGTAGCAGTCACAAGATGTTTTGAGTACCAGAAGTGCTGCAAGCTTCAGTAAAGAATTCCTCTAACTTTCTCTGAAATCTCTCTCTGGATATTGTTCCCTCCTGCCTGTGAGAATCTGTGTTTGAATTTACCTTTTTGCCAAGGCGAGTGTTTATGGGATGTAATGATATTGGAACAGTTAATTAGTTGTTACCGTATTGGGTCGGTTAGATTTTCCAATAGTTAAGTTACTCTAAATTCTGTTTTCTTTTGTTTGTGTTTCAACTGTAGTGTTTAAATAAATTGTGTTTTGCTTAAAGCCGAGTGCTTTGACCAGCTGCATCACACCTGGAACACTCATTTCTCATCTGCCTTTAAAATAAGAAGAAGTTGGGGTCTAGGCTACCTTCTTAGTATATTTTGAGGGGATCTGACCTGGTCCATAACAGTGTTAACGTTTCAGATCCTGTGACCATTCCTCAGATGTTCTGAGGAAGTGTCACAGGAGCCGAAACGTTAACTCTGTTTTTTTCCTTCACAGATGCTGCCAGACCTGCTGAGCTTTTCCAGCAACTTCTGTTTTTGTTCCTGATTTACAGCATCTGCAGTTCCTTCATTTTTTTATTTGGTCCATAACAGTGATGGCTCTGGGAATAACAGCACTTGATTTACAACACACTACACTAAGGAATATGAGATATTAGTCAGTGATGCACACTGGGTGTTAGTTGCCAATTTCCTAACCTCAATTGGTGGTGGGATGGGTAAAACAGTGACTCCAGGCCTACAGGCCGCAGTACTGTGGTGACTCTTGGCAATCTCACAGGGCCCCCTGGCCACCCTGGGCTTTGCGGTATTTAAATGCCGACCTGCACAGAGCATACCTTCACTTTGCCGATCTGACTTGCTTTTAGTATTTTTAGTGAAGCTTTAAGAAGTGCCTGAGAAAGCAGCTTCTCTTTGAGGTGCCTCTTAATGCAGTTGAGGGCTTCTCTGAAGTGGAAAAGCCTCCCCAGTTTCGGGAGACTGGTGGCTGTCCTTACATGCCCAGGGACCCTGTCTCTGTGCCAACCGGAAACAGGCCCAACTCCTGCTTCCCGCTTCCCTCAGGGCAATTCTTGGGAGTGTGCACTGACTCAGCTCACGGAGGTCAAAGCGTTCCATTGTCGGATGTGTAGCTTAGGTTCCATGGCAGCAAGTCAGGCAGGTCAACGGCACCATTTAGTGTCGAAGGCCCATCCTTTTCCCTTCCTCCTCTCCTCTCAGGGGCTCAAAGTCTGTGGAATGCTCTTCCCCAGAAAGCTTTGGAGGCAGGGTCATTGAGCAGGAGTTAGACTGATTCTTGATTGGCGGGCAGTCAAAGAATACCGGGGGCTAGACGGGAAAATGAGTCCTCCATCAGAATCTGCCAGGATCTTATTGAAGAGCAGAGCAGGTAAACTGCTTGTTCCCATAGGCCAGAGTTTTACTGAAGGCTCTTCCATCAGTTCACACATTAGGGATTGGGCACTGCTCTATAGCATTACGCTGCATTGGCTGAAGCACACCACACTGCCTTCGGCTAAAAACCAATTAAAAGGTGCAAGCTTTATTCCTAATTAACATTGCCATTTTGTTTTTAATTCTTCATGCTGAACTCAAGTAGACTGGGAGCAAAGATGGATTCTCAAAAGCAGGATATGCACCATGCCTGGTAGGATCTTCCCATTGTGAGAATGGGAGGCCACTGTATTTCAATTTACCCACACTGCACAGCAGGAGGCAACAGTGCTGCAATGGGGAACCTAGAAACAAGTCACCCTAAACCTATCAATGTGGAAGGAAGAGCTATGTCAAAAGTTACTCATGACCCCATCAGGTTCTCAGTTAAGTGGAGGATGTTTTGCAGTGAGGAGATTTATGTTCCAGCCAGACCTGGGTCCTGCCCAGCTTTCCTGACCTGAGGAATTGTGAAATAGAAACCGAACAGCAGGAGAGTTGGGGAAGAGCAGTGACTGGTTCCCCCTCACTGGGGAAATACTTCCTAGTCTCGAGTTTCAGTTAATTTTGGAACCTATAATGAAGGTCAAGGAAAGATTAAGATGCTCATTAAACACACAACAAAAAAAAAACTGCTGGAAATCTGAAATAAAAACGAGGAATGCCAGAGAAACTCAGCAGGTCTGGCAGCAACAGTGGAGAGAAAGGGTTAACGTTTTAAGGGTTAACTTCTCTTCAGAAGTGACAGTTCTTCAAGTCTGAAGAAGAGTCATACCAGACTCGAAATATTAACTCCATTTCTCTCTCCGCAGATGCTGCCAGTTCTGCTGATCATATCCAGTACTGACTGTTTTTACTTCACATGTCCATTGCTGCTCAGACAATTTCTACGGTTGTGCCAATATCTGTCCTGTCTCCTCACTCTCTAAATCACTAAGTCTAGGACCAGTTTGAGGAAACATTCCTTCCTGATAAAGGGCCAGAAAGGAGTTGCTGTGATATATCTCGAGCTTAACTTACCTAACACAGAAATGATCCAACCCCTGCACTATTTCGCAATGTTCTCCTCACTCCTGAACATCCTCCTGAACACCATACTTACCATTATCCCCTGCTCAGAACTTACATTATTTATACCCCAACCATCATTATTCTGTCCTCTGGTTCTGGAAGGCTTTTGCTCACCTTCACACCCATTCTCCGTTTTCAAAGACTCACAGAAAACATCACAAACCCATACAGTGCAGAAACAGGCCATTCATCCCATCATGGCTGTGCAAGCTCTTTTGTAAGAAACCATCCAAATAATCCTACTCTCTGCTCTTTCCCCACAGCTTGGCTACTCTCCTGTTTTTCAAGTCTGTATTCAACTACTTTCTGAAAATTTCAAATCAGTTTGATTCTGACACCTTCTCTGGCACTGCCTTCCTGATCATAACAACCAAATGAGTAAACAAAATATATTTTCTTGCAGATTGTAATTTAATCAACATTGATGGCAAAACTATGAAGGCTGTTTACTGTGCACTATCCAATGCAAATGTGGAATATGTTGATTGTGCAGTGGACATGGATTCAAGAAATAATTGAATATAGTTCTTGCTAAGGAGAGGGTTCATAGACAGGGTGAGAAGGCAGTTTGACAGACTGGCTTATAAAAGACAAGGTTCTTTTTATCTTTATTCTTTCACAGGGCGCGGGCATCACAGGCAAGGCCAGCATTTGGCGCATATCCCTGACCGCCCTTGAACTGAGCCGACCACTTTGCTATGGATCAGGAGGCACCTGTGGGCCAGAATAGGTAAGGATGGCAGATTTTCTTCCCGAAAAGGGCACCGGTGAACCTGATGGGTTCAATGTAGACCCCGCGGCACAATTTTAAATGTTGAGTGGTTCTCACGATGTCTTGACCAATATTTGTCCTCAACCACACCTCGATTCTGCCAACTTGCTGCTTGAGGAATTGTTTTATGTGTGATTTGGTTGCCGCATTTCCTTCTACATTAAACAGTGGCCACACTGCACAAGTTTCTGGGATTTCTGGACATTCTCTTCCTTTCTTTCTTACAAGCCCAGACTTCCATGAGCTATTACAGTTTGTTGCTGTTTCCCTCTCACCATCTACGACACACTGGCTGAACTCATGACAGAGGCATGTTGTAAGTGCAACAGTTTTGTACCCAGGGAAGTATCCACATAGATTGGCTCTGGTCTGCTTTATCACCTGTCCCGAAAACACGTTGATGTACAGGAGAGAGATTCTTTGCAAGCATGTGTTGCAATGCTGATAAAAGAATATTGAAACGTAAAGCTGAGTATTTTTATTAAATGCTTCGGTAACAAACTGCACCCTTTAGCTATGTACAGTTAATGTGCTAAACTTGTGTGCGCGTTTATGCGTATATTTATATACTTCCAAAGAAAAAGAGCACAATGAACAAGTGTCAAAATCTGATGAAAGGAAACAAATCCTGCAGTACTCAACACCTTTACAATGTGAAGGCATGCATTGACGTGGCAAGATTTTGGATCAAACAACACACGGTTACCCTGCTGTTCTAAGGCTGGGGGGCGGGGGTGCGGAATATCGCCACACACTCATTGTGAAGTGTTTGAGTAGAATGGAGCAATGGAAAATGTGGGAGTTGACTGTTGCCAGCAATAGTTGGCAAAACCGACCCTGCGATCATTGTAGGGTGTGGTTTGAGGGGCCCAGTCGGACAGGGCCCATTTATTACTGGCAGGTTTGCCCAGTTTGAATTTGCCAGGAAGAGGTCAGAGATGGGCTTTGGGGAAGGACTTGAGCGAACATTAAGTTAGAACTGCCAAGCTCAATCAGTACCACTTGCTTCAGGTACAGAGCAGATTAATAGAAAGGCCATCAATTGTGTCATGAGGGGCCTGCACAGTATCCAAGGGAAACAACAGGCCAAATTATAGGCCTTGGTCTCTCCTGCTTTGCAGAACACCAGAGTTTATTTTGATTTTACAATTTAAACGGAAACATGGTGGAGCAAATTTGACTAACAAATACGTGGCATATTAACACAAATTGGTTTAACTCACAGAACACTGTTTCAGCCTTTTCGATAGTTTATTTGCCTAACATTAATCAAAAAATATAGATTAGGGTTTGTCGGCCAAGTTTCTTTTTCAAATTTCGATATTGCTTCAGTGTAAACAAATAAATAAATTATTTACAATCTTTGGCAAAATTCACTGCTTCCCACAAACAACTTTTTTTTAAAAAGAAAAGGGGGGAGAGAGAGAGAAAAAAAGAAAATAAAAACATAAATAAATTAAATAGGAAAATATGATACAATCTAAATATTCACATCTTTTGCCCCCTCACCCTCTGCAAACTGTTTTCTCTCTCCTTGAAAGGTGGTCGTGCTTTGTGTGATGACCTGTGGAACCACTTGATGTTCCTTGTCCAAAGATTCTGGGGGTGTGGGGTAAAATGGAATGGGGAGGGAGTGAGGGTGTGGGATTAAGTAGGGCAGGGGAGGTACAGAAGGGTTACGAGGAGGAAATGGTTGCTTTTCATGTCAGAAGGAGCGTTAATAGCTGTCACTAACACTGAAAGACTGCAATGTGTGTAGAATAAAACAGAACTTTAAAAAAAAATGATATGTGATATATAGAATATACATAGATACACATCCACATATATTCAGACTAAGCCGATATATTATTGGTTGCGGCTTGCTTTGTCCCTAAAGCAGCCGCCTAGAATAGCTTTCACTCAGCTGAGCATGTCAGTTAAATCAATTCAGTGGTACATAAGAGTGTCTATAGGATTTGTACGCTATTACTGCAATAGCTGAGCTGTCAATAACACCAAATGGCTGAAAGCTTTTATATACAGACAATGAAATGTGATAGAAAAAGTTGTAAACAAAGTGTTTTGAAATTTTTTTTTGTAATTCGTTCTTGTTTCCCAGAAGATGTCATTTTTAAACATTGTTAAATCAGACTTCCTTCTTTTTCTCTTAAAATAACAGTCCGCTGCGTGGGTTTCCTTGAAAACAGCCTTATTAGAAAATAGTAATGACAGGCTTATATTGCAGTATGATACGTTTGTTAAATGATCAGTAATCCCTGTATCTAGGTATAGTCATGGTTGCAAGACGTGTCGGAGATACAGTCAGCTTCCTGTCGGGAACATCTGGTTTTGCTGCATTCCTGCCAGGCCATTCAGAGGGAGCTGGTGCACAGAGCGAGAGTGAGCAGTCACCACAGCTAGCTGAAGGTGAATGGAATTGTGTGTGCTGGGGGGGTGGGGGAGTGGAGGGGTTTGGGGAATGGTGTGGAGGGGCCGTGGGTTGAAGGTTACACTCAGGACAACAGCGCAGGAGGGATGGGTGGGTGGAAAAACAAAAATCGGGACTCCCAGTCTGATTGAGGTGACGGGGCAGCACAGCTTGTCCAGGGATTCCACACCGTGTGCCGCCAACAGGTGCTCAGTTATCTGCAAAAACAAGACATTGCATTAAAATTCTTTGCACACAAGGGGAAAGGGGGCCCGTGAGGCTCCTTTCAACTTTGCAAAATGGTACCTCACAAGGACTAGGAGCAGAAGTTGGCCATTCAGCCCCTTGACCCCTCTCTATATTCAATACAATCATGGCTGATCTCATCTCAGACTCAACTCCACTCTCCTGCCTGCTCTCCATAACCCTTCAACCCATCACCAGTTAAAAATATCCTATCTCCTTAAATTTATTCAATGACCTGGCACCCCCTGCCCTCTGAAGGAGTGAATTTCACAGGTTCACTACCCTTTGAGAGGAGTAATTTCTCCTCATCTCTGTTTTAAATCTAGCATCTATGTCCTCTCATTCTAGATTACCCCGCAAGAGTAAATGTCCTCTCTAGATCTACTCTGTCATCTTGAGCATTTGTAGACCTCAATGAGATCTCCTCTCATTCTTCGAAGCACCAGCCAGTATGTGGCCTAAACCGCTCAATCTCTCCTCTTAAGGGAAGCTTTTCATTTCTGGAATTAATCTAGTGAGCCTTCACTGAACTGCATCCAACACAATCCTTCCTCAAGTAAAGGGAGTACACCAGATGCAGTCTCTCTAATGCCTCATACAGTTGCAACAACACTTCAGTACTTTAATACTCCATTCATTTTGCATTAAATGCCAAAACTCCATGTGCCCTCCTTGTTCCCTGCTGTGCCCTTTCTAGCTACAAGTTTCAAGGAAGACAGGTATATTGCCGAGACATGCTGTCAGAGCTTTTCTTCTTGCACTCATCAGGACAGATGCAAGAATGCCAAATTTCAGAGGGAGCAACAATGTATCCAGCCTGAGAAAATGGTGCTGATTGGTTTTCTATTTTGGTTAATCGTGGCTTTTACACGGAGCATGCACCAGGGAACTGCTGTTGACCACTTTTGTGTAACACACTAAAGTCTAGACAACAATTCCCTGGCGCCTTCTCAGCAGAACAGGTTGGAAGGGCTAAATGACGTCCTACTGTTCTTTCGTTAAACACTGTGACAAGATTCCCCTCTGAGTTATAACCAGAACAGGACAGCTCAATGATTTAGAGGGACTTAATTACTTTGCAGCATGTCACGTTGTGTACTCACACGTATAGTTCATATTTTATTTATATGTAGTAAATAAGCAAAATAGCATGAAATATAACTATAATGTGTAAATGTCTACATTTCCAATATAAAATCTATGTCATAAAGACTGCAAATAACCCATTCCAACTTTGTCCAGAGATAGTAGGAACTGCAGATGCTGGAGAATCTGAGATAACAAGGTGTAGAGCTGGATGAACACAGCAGGCCAAGCAGCATCACAGGAGCAGGAAAGCTGA